CGTCAATTTCAGCAAAAAACAGCTGATATAATTGATCATCAACCAAAGGGTAGATTGGGTATGGGTTATTTTGACGCGGTTGCAGATCATGCAAGGTGCCGTAATATGGGGATAGGTGAACCGGTCGGGGGTCTGTGGGTGTGTAGGTGGCAAAAAGTACCTGCGGGACAGCTAGCGAGTCCTGGATGAGAAAGTCCGCCGTACGTTGCATCGCGGATAAGAGAGCCCAAAACTGCATCAGGTAGATGAACCGTGTCACTCGGGGTGATGAAAATATAAGATACGCATTCAGGGTTCAGCGCCGGTCAGGGGACTACTCACATACGCAACATGCTGGCAAATGCCTTTGTGTTTCGAATGGCCACGAAGGATAGGTAAGGCCCAGGCCCTCGTTTGAGGTCTTTTAGTCTCACAGGGTGTGGTCATGAACTCTGTGGGAACTATCGTGCATGGCAAGAACTGGTGGTGGTAGTGAGTGGGTTTCTAATAACCTAATTACTGTGATGGCATCATAATGTATATATTAAGCTGAGGGATAGATCACAATAGTCCGGGGCTCGTCGATCGGTGCGCCATAAATTGACCTGTGAGGTGTATTGTTTGTATTAGAAAACCTGAGGAGCACACAGAAGGGGTTGTGCTGTATAGAGAGAGCTGTAGGTGTCTTAAACGACAATTAGCATGAAATGCAAAATGGCCATACAACATGTCAGTTCTGGGTGGTCCTTATGTCGAAAGTAGAGGGGGAAAGGTGAAAAATACTGATACAAGCACTATCCAAAAGCTTACCAGCAAAAAGTTGTTCCCACCAATTTGACAATGGATAAGCACTGTTTATGACTAGCGGTGCATGTGATAAGCTGGAGTCGTTAACATGTTAAATATGTATGGAGAAGGGTAAGCATGGAACAAAAGTCGTCAGTATCTGAACTAATGCTGGGGTCTTTAGTGTCTGGGGTTGGATACTAAAGCTGGTGTTAGGCTGTTTTGATTTTAGGGGTCCAGCATGTTGGATATAAACTGGAGAAGCACCAGAGAATGATGAGCAAAGACGCCCAACTTGAGGCCACTTTAGAAAGGTAATGGCGTAAATATTGGGGAAAATCGGTGTTTTGAGTTGCTGTGTGGGGATCTCCTCTTGGCCAGTATCTATATAATTGTGTGCCTATCACAATGTAAAAATTAGATATTATTAGTAAGTAATTAAGATAGTTATAGAGATAGGGAGAGTAGGTTTTAACTTAAAATATTTTGGTTCTTCACATGGCCAATATACTAAATGAGAAGGCTGGGTACAATGGAACTGCAGGAGGACGGCTGCCTAAACGTGCAAGGTGTTGATTAAACTGACTTAGCGTCTAGAATGGGTTATCCGTATGAGGGTGCAACGCGTTCGAGGGTATCTAAGACGGTAAAGCTATCTGAGTTGTGTAAAACACATTCTAGGAGCCGTCTAGGCGGATGGTGTCAGCCGGAGCGATAGTAGTAATATTGGGCGTGTCCTTTGAATATTAAGGTGTTTGTTTTGTACTGGCGTGGTTAAGAATAAACGATAGCTTGTGTGGGCCAGGCAATGGTGCCTCTTTGACGTGTGGAAATCAGATCTATATAAGCAGTATGTGGACTGGATTTAACCCTTTCCTGCTCATCAAACCCGACCCGCCATATAATATATATTATATATATATATATATTGTATATATATATATATATTGGGGGGGGGGGGGGGAGGGGGGGGTTGGGGGGGGGGGGGGGGGGGGGGGGGGGGGGGGGGGGGGGAGGGGGGGGGGGGGAGTGGGGGTGGGGGGGGGTTTTGGGGGGAATCGAGGTGGGGGGAAGGGGTGATTGTAAATGGATTGGTACATTGGTGAGGGGTTAGAGTGAGATTAACGGTGGTGTGGGGAATGGTGGGGTATTTTGGGGTGGAGGAAGGTGGTAAAGAGGGGGTTGTTAGCGTGGCAGGGAGATGGGGGTGTGGATGTAAGGTGGGGGGAGGTGTTAGTAACATACATAATCGTGGAAGTTATGCTATACCGGTGGGTAAGGGAGGCGGCATTCATTGTCGAATTGATGTGGGGTACGTGGGAGGGGGCTAACTCTGGGTGGCCGGGCCTGCGGTGATTCGGGGTGTGGGGGGGGGACCGGGCAAGCACGGCAGTGGGCTGAAAGTGGGTGCGTGGAGGGGGGGTACACTTGGCGCGGTCCTGTTGGGGCCGCTAAGGTGGGGGCGGCAGGTTGGGCGGAAACGGGGATCATTACAGGTAGGGTAGGGAGCCCCCTACTCCTGACCTGTGCTGGGAATTTGGCGTGAATAGACAAGCCCGCACTGCGTCTATTTGATACTGGTATAATTTGGTGTAGTGGGGAATATATGTTGTAGTGTGGTATTATAGTGGGGGAAGGTGGGGGCTGCTTAACACGTCATTCTGGGAGACATGTGGTGTCCGGTGTGGATTGTAAATGTTTGTTATAGTTAGTCTAGGCCCAAATTGCATCTAGATCTGTGTGCCAAAACCTAGGCCCGCAACAGGTGTGGAGGGCTGCGGTAGGGATCCACTGCGATCTGTCAAAGGCAGACGTTTAGTCGCGCTCAATACATTGGTCCAGGGCTGCGGGGGGGTGCCGGGGTGGCGGCACGGTGCTCTAAGCGGTAGCAAGTGCAGTAGGGTTGAGCGGGGGGATATAAGAACTGTGAGGGGAAAATAAAAAAATTGAGGAGATTGCCTTCCGGTTGCAGCCATGGCAGAGTGTGGCCACCAGAGGGAGACATACTAATGCGGAAGACGCGCCCCCAGCAGAGAAACAACCAATCAGATACACCACTTCTGTTGCACAAGGCTCGCGCGCAGGGCGGGAGCTGCGAGTTACCAAAGACTAGTTTAAGTCATTTATGGACGAAAACAGCCCGTGTTTGTGTCTGTGTGTCGTTCACGTAACTTACCAAACGTGTGTTCTGTGTACGAATGTATCGGTCTGTGCTGCAGAACACACATAAGCTCACAAGTGCTGGACATCATCATGCCTGTCAAACGAGAAGTTATCAAGGTGAGCTCAAACGAAACCTTTACTTTGAATTGCATGAAATTTTGCAAAGCAGAAAAAATTAGTTCTGAGTTGTTTTTATGATTATGGTGATGTGCATTTCCAAGGAGCTGACACCAGAAAATTCAATGAGACGTTCAACTCGACACACGCTGGCTCCCAAACGCCTTCAATACTCTCCTGAGGAAAATCCAGACGAGACCCCACAAAAGAAAATGGTTAGTTTGAAGTCCACATAATATACACAACTTTTAATGCTTACTCTCCACTAAATGTTTCTTTTTTATCCAGAGAAAGGACGTACACCGTAAAAAGGCTCAAAACTCCATCCAGTCTGCAACAGTGTCACAAGATGAGGGACTTTCAGCCTATGAACTCGAGCGTCTAGAAAACATCAGGAAAAACCAAGAGTTTCTGTCTTCTCTCAAAATTTATGAGGTTTATATTATTACAATAACTGTTTACATAATAGTAAGCGCTGTGCCAAACTCTGTTTTCATATTTTTGATAGATTTCCCATGAATTGAAGCAGTCTGTGCGTCCCAAGCCCACACAAAAAGGTCTGAAGAGGTATGCTCATGTTTAGAGGATGTACTCTTTTGTTCTAAGTCCTAATTTTCTCAAATGTACTTGGTATTAGGTACTATACTGTAGCCATACCGGCATGTGAAGGTGAGATCCTGCTAGACTTCTGAAGATAAGCAGGGCTGGTCCTGTTAGTAATGTGATGACCCCCATTGCCTAGAATGAGTCTGGTGTGTGTGTGAATGGTTGGTGGTGGTCGGAGGGACCAATGGCACATACTGGTTGCCTCGCTTCTGTCAGTGTGCCCCAGGGCAGCTGTGGCTACAGTAGTAGTTTATCACCACCGTGTATGTACATCTGAAGCGTATTTGAGCGTTCAAAAAAGCGATCTATAAAACTGATCCATTATTATTATATATCTATCAATTTTATCTGTTAGAGTTGCGGATCGCAGAGTCTTAAATAGAGTCACCCTTTCCCCGCACACATCCTCCAGCTCACCTGGGGGAATCCCATGGTGTTCAGGCCAGCTAAGGGGCTTAGTCCGTCAGTGTCCTTGGGGTCTCTTCCTGGTGGGACGTGCCCCAAACCATTTCATTTGGCTCCTCTCGATGTGGAGAGGCCTCTACTCTGAGCTCCTCTCATGAGAGAAGGCTTTTCACCCGCTCTCTTAAGGAAGCGCACAGCCACTCTGCAGAGGAAGCTCATGTGTACTACTTCAACACAACGGTCCCACACAACGGCCGCATCACTGCACATGCTGCAACAATGCGACTGTCAATCTCATGCTCCATCCTTCCCTCTGCCGTGAACAAGACCCTGAGATACTTGAGCTGAGGATTCAAGACGTTTTAAAAAAAAGTTTATTTATCCCTGATCATAGTTTTGTTTGACTTTTTGAATCTGTTTTATTCCTATTCCCAACTTGTTCCCTTCATTCTTAAATATTTTTCTTACCACCTTATTATTGTCTGATACCTTTTTACAAGTCTTTTTTTTTGCAGCAGCAGCAGCAATAATATGACATGACAACACTACTTTTGTCAAAATTCTAGATGCTTTCTACTATAATATCAGTAAATAGTGTTTTTGTTTCTTATAGATTGGGAACTGTTCAAAAGGAAGTGCTTCCACCTCGCAGGTCTCAGCGACTCCAGAATATAGAGATTGATCCACTTCAAAACCCAGACACAACAACGTCCAAACAAAACCTGGATTCGTTTATGGTTTGTAGTGATTTTTTTTTTTTTTTAAGTATTTGTGCACAAGGAAGAAATGATCGGTCGGCCAAGGAAATCTTAAACACATGCCAACAGACAGGTTATTGGTTTTGATTGGATTTGAAGTCTTGCTCAACATCAGTAATAGACTGAGATTTCACACATTTTTGCCAATTATCTTTTTTTTTTTCTATCTTTGGAGCACACTGAGCCACCAACTCATTTTGTCAAAGCTTTCCCAAATATAAACATGTTTACCTCTCTTTTTTTTTTAAGCTCAGCCTCTGCAGAATTCACCTGTTGTTACAATCCATACATATGTTATTCTGTCCACAGTAGCCATTATTACTGTGTTATTTCCAACAGCAGACTATTCAAGATTAAAGCAGCAAAGTGGCATTATAATACAAAGAAATGTGACACTTTCTCTTTCAATTTCAATCTTTTTATGTGTAATGATGAATAAAATATCAGTAGTTTTGACAAGTCAATCAAAAGACTAAGCCTTGATTGCTCCTTTAAGTTTGCTTTTCTAGTACTCTGCCTTGTTGGATTTGTTCTAGTCAGACAAGAGTATAAACAACTAGACAGAGATGAGAAATGTGTGTGACTATGAAACATACATTTATTTCTAGCACGTAAAAAAAACATCTGGTCCTCTTGTGATGAAGCCGATAAACATGTCTGAAGACCAACTGCCCAATCAACTTCTCAAGATTTGGACGGAGGTGAGAATTGTCCGACTGTGTGATTGCTAACACTACTTGGGTGAAGTACTTGATGGTATTCCTTCTTCTTGCAGAATTTAACAGATAAAATAAACACAAGGCTGAACCTGATGCAGTAAGATCATACTTTTGCAAAAGTTGCCAGGTGGCTGATGTGAGTTAATGATTATTTCATGGTTTTACACTTCAGATACAAAACTGCACTCGCGGGTCTGAAGGTGACGGAGGAAAGAGTGGCCAAAGTGGTAAAGGAGCGCATCTTCTCCGCCGCGTTTCACCCATGTGCCAGCAGTCTGCTAATGGCTGCAGGTGACAAGAGCGGGAAAGTTGGACTGTGGAGTTTGGTAAGAATTGTATCTCCATTCAAACGATCAAAGTCACTGTGTGTTTGTAAGTTTTGTTTTCACACAGTCTAGTTCTTGGGGAGATGATGGCGTGCTCTTATTTGAACCACACTCGCGTCCCGTCACGTGGATGGCGTTCTCCCAGACAAACCCCTCAGACTTGTTAAGCACCAGCTATGATGGATTCATGCGTCACATGGACGTCGAGAAGGCGGTCTTCAATAATGTAAGTATCATCACATTCTCATGTTCAGTGCTTTAAAGCCTGGTTCATACAGCAGGGCATTTAGGACCATTTTAGCTAAAGGGTGCTGCAATTATTGTAAGATAGTCTTATCAGATATTCCTGGATATGAGATTGCATGATAGGAGGAGCTTGGGTTCTGGTGATTGAACGCATGTATTTGATTTATTAACGTTGATATTATTTAGTGCATTCTGTCATTTAGGTATATGAACTGGATGGGGGCCTGAAGACATTTGACTTCCTCTCCAATGACTGCATGAGCCTGCTTGTTGGTAGCTGGTTGGGAGAAGTTGCGATTGTCGATAGACGGACACCAGGGTGAGTGTTTTTCTTCTGACCGAACGAATATAAATCATCTTAAAAAAGAATCATGGTTTGATTTTTCCCACAGAAACTCTCACGAGTCGCTCCACATACTCAACACGAAGGCCGTGCGCTGTGTGAGTGTGCACCCGTTACAGAAGCAGTACTTTGCTGTAGCGGAGAGCCAGTGTGTATTCATTTATTCTGTCAATTGTTTCCAACTTAGACATGATGTCATACAATACATTGTTTTCTGTCTTCAGGGTAGTTCATATATACGACAATCGTTTTCTGAAAAAGTCCAATTGTACTCCAGTCTGCCAGCTGCTGGGGCATTCCAAAAGCATAAGTAGTGCTTATTTTTCCCCAGAGTCTGGTAATCGCATTCTCACCTCTTGTATGGACGATTGCATAAGGTGAGACATAGCATTCAGCTTCAGAGGCCTCTGATCAATGTTGTACCACTTCTGTTTACATCTTCACATTTTCACAGGATTTATGACACATCCAGCACCACTGTGGCCCCTTTACTCAACACCATAAGGTACAACTCTAACAGACTTTTCTTTTTGAAGCTGCATGGTTATTAAGTCCTTCCAATTATTGTGTTATTATTCTGTTCAGACACAACATGCAGACAGGCCGCTGGTTGTCAAAGCTGACTGCTGTGTGGGACCCGAAGCAGGAGGGGTGTTTTGGAGTGGGCTGCATGTCGCGTGAGCGCTGTGTGCTGCTTTACCACGAGAGCGGGCAGCTTCTGCACAGGCTCTCAGAGAACCTCAGCACCGTGCAGTCGGTCGTGGCCTTCCATCCGAGCAGCAACGTCCTCCTGGGGGGAAACGCCTCTGGACGTCTGCACCTCTTCACTTAGCACTTAAAGAAAACCTATTCCTCTGTCAACTGAAAGATGCTGCAATATTAAGTTTGTCATTCTTTTTTTGTAAATGGATTAATGTTTTATTCAAGTTGTTCTTAATTTTTTAAAAGCACCAACATCTTTTCAGGATATAATTGTTACAAAAAGGTCTTTTTTGATTAACAGAAAAAGTTAATATTTTTCTTTGGTTTTTGGCACTTAAACATTGCCTTTTTGTTCATTCATCATACAGCAACATTTTCTAGTTAAAACAAACTTTTCCACACAACAGATACCTGACCTGGGGAATATTCATTCCTGACTTTGTCAAATAAAGCTTTAATTTTTAACATGAAATATTTGCCTTGTATCTTAAACATATGTGCCTTTTTATTCTGTGTCCTTTTAGAGACAGTAACCATAGCTCCACTTGACTTATACTAAATTATCACCAAAATCTGTTCATGGATTACACTCGGATGGAGACGACAGCCTTTGTCCCACAGGTGATGAACCTGAGAACAGACTTTATTCTTCCACATCTAGTCCATATGAACAAACTTTATTTTTTATTCAGGCTATTTTAGAGAAATTCATTGGTTGCTATTTAAGGAATTTTCTAAATAATACATTTGAAAAACATGTATGGAGCCCAAATGTTGGGTTCCATTTATATACATGTAAGTGTATTTTTATATGGTTTTGGTCGTTTATTTGTTCACCCAAGATTAAAGCAGTAAAATCAGTTCTCATTTATGATATTTACATAATTTGAGCTTTCAGTTTTATTGAAAATGAAAAATATAAACATGTCAGAAATATTAAGCAGTTCCGGTATAAACTGTTACCAGAACCAAATCTCTTTCAAATCTTCACCTGATTTTTTTAATTTGCTTTTGTGTCAACCATAAAATGTTACTGAGTCATCTTGTGTAGCCGACTGGCTTTAGATAAAACTGAGTGAAAAACATTGACTAAATCAAATATCGTATTTATTATTATCCAGGAACATGGTTAGATTTGGTCACATAGGCTAAATGTTATTGCTCAAATGACATTTATTTCATGTAAATCTGATTTCAACATACAAATACATGTAAATCTACATCTTATCCTCATTTTAGTCGCTACATTCATTTGGAACCATGCAGCACCACAAGAGTTTTATTAATTCCTATCAATAGTTTTGCACATGAGCGACAACCACAATCTGTTCATAGCTTTCAAAATGACACGTGATAATACATATGGTAGGCACTGTACATGAAACAACGTAGCTTTGGATTTTCACATTGAAATTCAGTTTCTCAATGCAGCCGACAAAGTAACCAACAGCGCGGAGTATGACCTAATACCTTTTACACTTAATAATCCATCTCAATTCATTCTATTATAAACACAGAAAACCTGCCCAGCATTTTCTTTGGTCAGCATGACGATGACTGCAGCAGGATGTAAACACATTTTCTTTAGGCCATTACTCACTGACAGTCGAGTGAAAGGCTTTTGTCTATCACTGGACTCTATGAAAATGGCTCAGAGCTCAACAACAGCCTGTACAAGAAAATGTAAATATAACAGCTATTGTTGGGACATAGAGGTTTTAGTGCTTCATAAATGAGACAAAATATTTCAATTTGATATTATTTATGAGGAAAACTGAAGAATGTACTTTGAATGAGTGAAAAAGTGATGTGGTTTTAGCACTTACCTGCTACTTCTCAAAAACTACCTGCATTATCTGTATCTGTACAAAGCAAAGTTAAATGATCACAATCAAAGGCTGATGCTTTAAGTGCTACTTTTATACTGGGTTTATAATTACACATAAAACTAAATACTTACCAACAAAATGTCTACTATGAGTAAATAGTATCGGTTTCATATTTGTTTATAACTTACAGACACTCAAACAGCATTTGCTCAAACATGATGTCTCTGTAAAAGACACATGACTCAACACAATAAACATGAATTATTACAAAAATAAAGGCAACTATTTGAGACAGCTTTCTGTGGTAAAATTAAATATTATCTCATGACAGTGAAAAAATAAAACACTTTCAATTCACCAAAATGTTAAAAGGAAAACGTGAGCTTCAATATCCTCCTTTTTCATATCATAAAATAAGTAGATGTCTTTCTTTTCAAAATTGTTTTGACACAGGGTTGTTTACAGTCTATTTGTGTAAACATTAGTTTTCTCTACTTGAGGAGGAAGCTACCCAACCACCAGAAAACCAGCGGCGCAGGGGACAAAAGTATTCAATGTGGAATTGCTGAAACTCAGGAGTTTTGCGGATGTCTCTGAGGAAGGCGATGTCCAGGTCTGACTCTGTGAGCATGAGAAGCAGCAGCAACAGAGCGAAGAGGAGGCCGATGGTGACGAAGAACAGCCGCAGGACGCTCAGGATGAACTTGTGCAGGTCTTCAGCCTCACTGCTGGCTGTGGTCTTTGTGCTGCCTGCTTGAAGTACACGTTTGCCTGGTCTGGCCTGTGCGGCCTGGGATTCTGAGCCTCCGGCATCTTTCTCCTCATCCACACTGCAGGGAGCGCCATTGAGGTGGCGAGCAGCAGGCATCTCTGCCCCGTGGTCAGCAACCGGTGTGGGCAGCACACTGTTCGAGGGGCTATAGGTCTCATCAGAGATGACGGCTGATGTACTGGCCTCACCTCCTTCCACCAGCTGACTCCGAGACGACATGAAGGATTCGCCGTGAGACACAGAGCGCACAGGGGTGGAGTGAGCACTGTCACGGAGAGACTCCAGGCCTGCAGCAACACACACACACACGTATATTATAATTACAGACATGTAAGTGTACGACAAAGGCATTTCACATTACACTTTCACATTATCATTGTCTTAGTCAACCTCCTAAACTTAGATTGTTGCAAAATCACAGAAACACTTAATGGAAATATTACAGAATATCTCATGTGCTCAGTTTTGCCTCCAAGAGAGGAAGAGACAAAGCCTTTTGTCAGGGCCGTCCTTCTGGAGATGACTCTCAAGTTGTGTCCACAATCTGCACTGGCTGCCTTCTGAAGCCAAAGGTGAGAGCCCAGGCAGGGCCCACCCACGCACCCTCACATCTCGATAACAGTGGTCGATCAGACGCAGGTGGACATTCACTTTGGTCTTGATACAAATCCGGCACTTAACCATTTTCTATTGTTTTGTCCTAGTCCCAGCTTCTTGTCTCGTTGCTTTGTGTTGAAAGTGTGAAACATAGTCCCCTGTCATAATAATCCTGCCCACCTCGCCCCCTCCTGCGTCAACTGTTACACACGGCCAGGCCCTGACAGCAGGAGCTATTTTCAGCCTGTTATTGTGTTAGCAGACAGGGACAAATTCAGGGTTGTTCATTGTTATGTTTCTCTGTCTACTGTTGAGAAAAATATGACTGATTCAGTTCTGTGCAGAACAACTCACAGCTGTTGCTTTGTGTAAAAGGGTAATAGTCTGTAAGGAGAGAGAGGGCAGTGTCCGAGCCCTTTTAAAACTGACAGCAAAGCATTTGACACTGAATGTTTTGCTGTGGGTTAGTGACTTATTTAAGTGACTTCACTGGTCACTTAAATAATGTATCTAACATGACACCCTCAACCAGGTTTACCTTCCATGATGGATATATGCACGGCTCTCCGCCTGGTTCTCGGCACACTGGTGAGTCGAGGTCCGTGGGTGATGGATGGGCAGCTTCGACTTGGGACCATCCCAGCCCTGGACAAAACATGTGTGTGTCATAATTATGCACAGTATGAGTGACCATTGCAGTCGCACTTTTACTGCTAATTACTGTATCTCTATATGCATCTTTTGTGAGCTCCTTGTGTGCTCTAACTTATTGTATGTTTGTGTACTGGAACACCAGATCTGTAAGTAAATGCTGCTCAAACACATTCTCAATTCTTAAATGTCTCACCTGTGAATCTCTGGAGGATCCCGCTTTATCTTGGCACTTTGTTCCATGACTTCTTTCGCAACTTTCCCGCTGCAAAAGCAATCATTATCTTAAGACATAATGTTTTTTTTAATGTGTGGAGTATTATCCAATAATATTTCTGGAATACCTGTATCTAAAACGACTACCCTTAAAAAAAACATTACTACTTGACACAGTGCGGACTTGACTGGACTTCTCCAACCTGGAAAGATATAACAACCAATGAGCTGAGTTTACCAAACAATCAATAGTTAGTACATAATATGTATATTTATATTACATTTATATTAGGACTCACTTGTAGAAAGCCTGATTCTCTACTCCACACTTCCACAGATGTTTACAGGCCTCAGGTGTAGGTGCAAAGTAAGTCAATATTATTTTTCTGTCCTGTAAAAATGCATTTACTATTATTAACACACGGTTTTTGATGTGAAGCCAAAAATTTTACATTTGAATACAGTGCATAATTTACTAATTCTGACTTACCTCATTTTGATTTGCATATATATGAAACGTCTTTGCTTCAAACTTGAGTTTGGTAACCTCATCCCTGTTTACATGAAATACAAACAATCTGTGAGAGGATGTGATACAGAACAGTGTGACTATACTCAACAGTTTGTTCTTCTGTTGCTTCTGAATCTGAATAATGACAGAAAACAAGTGCAGGTTTGCACTCACCACGTGAGGAAGTGAATTCTTCGGTTTCCTTGAAGCACAGTGAATCCAAACGGAGTGAAAGCCAGAAAAGCTGGGTTCCCAGACACATCCTTATTAACAAGGAAAAAAACATTCATTCAAATGACAAAATACATCAAATACATAGATCCAAACAATCAAAGGCCCAAAAACAAACAATGAGGTTATAATGACCTTGCAGGGATGAGGGTCCACCCCATAGGTCTCCAACATTTGGGCTTTCCGTAAGAAGTTCAGTTCAGACACTTCTGGAGTTTGGCCTCTGTGGATCCATTTTAAACAAGTATTGATATTCTATTGCATATTTAATAAAGTATTTTTCAAATATGTGAGCCCAACAAACACAAATGTACTGTCAAGGGAGGCTATGAACATCTCCACTAGATGGCAGTATTGTATAGTTCCCATTATTGTCCTACAATGCTCAGTGTCACCTTGACTCTGGAGGCTCTTTAGACCTGACCTGAATACAACCCCAAACATCACCTTATCTATAATTACACAGAGAAACACTGGGCTTTGCTCCACCATCGCTGTGGCCTTCAATGAGAGATGACTGTATGAATCGTGTCTGTATTTTGATTGCTTTCAGAATATGTAACAGTACCGTACATTAGCTCGGTTTTGTGGATCTCAGCAATGCGCCGCTCCAGCTTTTCTGAGTGCTTTGGGAAGAACTGGAACTTGGAGCAGTAGCCTTCTGGGTGTTTTCCAGGGTCATAGTCCCCAATCTCAGCTTTGAATAAAACAAAATTATTGTGGTCTTGATTTAAACAACAACACAATATAAAGAATGCAGCATTTCAATGATTTTTGTTACCAAACCTTCTATACCTATCATAACATGCGACATATTACATACATATGATTACAGTAAATTGTAATATATTAAAACAGTATCGATATTTTTATTTTTCATTTTCACTCATACAAAGGGAGTGACTGCTCATTCACAAGCAGCCTTTTCTCTGGTGCAACTTACGGTTTAAAGAGTATTGCAACGTTCACTTTAGTAATATGAATAGATGCCAGTTTTGATCGAAAGTTTAGAACAAAAACAACATATTTTGCATGGTAGAAAGTCAGTAAGACTGGACCATGACCCCGCTGTGGAGGCACCAGGCGGCAGTATTGTTTGAATGAACGCGTGATCTTCCTGTCGTCAACCACCCTCCTACGAGGAAATGTTTACGACTTGAGATAGATAGATCTAAGTAGAACTTCTAAATGCAATAACAAGAAATGGGAGTGAGACCAGTGGGGGCGGGTCCCGGCTCAAAAGTGGTCAAAATGGCGTTTAGCAAACCTCCAAATAAACCGGTAAACCCCAAGTATGTTTTCTCTCAATCCCATTTCTTTGAATCTTGTTAAGACAAATAATATGTTTTCCAAATTGACTTTTTGGGACTATGTTTATCCCCAACACTGCACACATATCTCTGTTGTGTTTGTACCTTGTAAGATATATGCAGCGAGCAGTGCAGCATCAGATGTCTTACACAACAGGCGTCCGTGGTACAGGTCCCTCTTCACCTGCAGGAAGACGAGATATCTGTGGAGCATAGATTCACAAACACTTGAGCCAATCAATACACTTTATTTGTAACATGGCCCTTGGGAATCATCATTTTGCACTTGATACAGTCACAATCAATCAGGGAACCAAATAATAAACTACTCTCACTATTTACATGTCTTAAAGGTAAAGGTGCACTTTATCAATCCCCGTAGGGCAATTCATCCTCTGCATTTGACTCATCCTGATGCAGCTAAGGCTTACGTCCGGAGCAGTGGTCACCAGCGTCCGGGATGCTCGGTTTGGTAAGGCCTACCAGAGCTAGAGGATTGTATCTAGTGTGCATGTTTTTTTTTAGTGGTGGGGGAAACTGGAGCACCCGGAGGAAACCTACGCAGGCACGGGGAGAACATGCAAACTTGACTCAGAAAGGCCCTGGGATTTCTTATTTAAAACCACTAAAGGAACAGGCCCATTCTAGACTTAGTTTAGCCCTAAACAAGAGCCCGAATCTGGTTTCAGAGATGTAAATACAAATTAAGATTAACCTGGGATTAACTGGGTTTGATGTGGCGTTACTTGAAAGGTCATATAGATCTGGTGGTACCTGAAGCTCCTGGTATCCTCTTATGTGGTAATCATTTGAGAACCACTGCTCCAATCTCGATAAATCATGATATCTATTTGACTGAATTTATGTATTCATTTATACATCAGATGATGGGAAATGATAATTGTGTGAGAACCTCCAGAAGAATAGCCCAAGTAGCTCCAATCCAACAACAAATACCTTTTTGGCATTTTACACCTGACCTGGGGACTACAGTTGGAAACTAGCAGCATAGTTAATATTGGCACATTTACAGTAATGTTAATGAATGCATACTGTCCCTATTCAAATTAACCACATACATCAATTTAGTTCAGATGTGTATGTTACATGACTGATGAAATAATTTAGGTTATTTATCTATTTTCAATGTAGTTAACTATGCTGCAATAATGATCTAAAGATTAATAATAAAGACAATAAAGATTAATAATAAAGAAATTCATAAACTTTCTGCATAAAAAGCCTTAAGTGAACGGCTCATAGTTGCATTTCATTGTAATCAGCAGCAAGAACCAAATGAAACTTTGAAACCGCTCACAACATGGATATAGGTATAAAAGCGCTTGTCCCCTTTAACGGCATTACATTTTAACAGTCTACTGCATATGAAGGAAGTCCATATCATTCTGAATAGTTTATAATAACAGCAGTGTCTTTGTAAATGTAATGGAAAATTGGACTGCATCATTTTACATAGTCTTAAAATGAGTGGGTAATGTGATTTGCTATGGGTGTTGTATTGTACGCCTATGCCTACAGCCGAACAGATGGAGGCGGATGAAGCCGCTCTCCCTTCAGTGTCAGTCTGCTATATCAAGAAGAGCCGGATTGCGAATAAGAGATTCCTTTATTGCATGGCAACCAGTGAAGGATGTGATTCAGTTGGATAGGAGCGCTCACTAGCTCTGCGACTGGCTCTATGCAGTAGTTTGTTCAGCTGTCAAGGATGCCCCACACAGCACATGAATGAGGAGAGAAGCTTAGCAAAAACACTTGGATGAGGCCTGTCCGTACATGCCACACACTGTCCTCGGAATGTGGCAAATGTGGACGCCATATTGTTTGAGGGGACGTCTTAAATTAATAAAGCATTTTTAATCATTCAAGATTACAACAAGTTACTCATCCAAAGGGGTACTTCCAGAATAAACACACAGCTTTTGCTCTGCATTCTGAGGACCTCCCGATTTTACTCATCAGTCAGTGATGAAAAAAAATTACTGATGGATTCTAATGTTGGGAAGGGAAAATGTATTTTGCACAACCTGTGAGACCACTGACCAAAGACCAAAACATCAACATGAGGCATGATAAGTCTAACCTGGTGATTTCCTCTTTGAGGGCAGCCGGGTCCGGTGGGTAAAACTTCACTCGCAAACACATTGTGAACGGAGGCTGAGCTGGTGAGAAAGGGAGGAAAAGGTTTTCCACATGACATTTTTAATCATCAATGATTGAAAGCCATTAAATAGGCAACATGTTGATCAACTTACACTTCATTTGTTTGGCAATTGATTTGCTGAACTCCAACCAGTGCTGAAAGAACAAAATGTGGGATAATTCAAGAAGGACAAGAAACCTCTTTGGTTTCCTGATGTTTTCTAGAAGCTCGAGTTCATAGGCTAAAAGTCCCTCATCTTGTGACACTGTTGGCAAGACTGGATGGGAGTTTTGAGCCTTTTTAACGGTGAACGCCTTTCCTCTGGATAAAAAACGAAACATTTTAGTGGAGAGTAAGCATTAAAAGTTGTGTATATTATGTGGACTTTCAAACTAACCATTTTCTTTTGTGGGTCCCGCGTCTGGGATTTTCCATCAGAGAGAGTATTGAAGGCGTTGGGGAGCCAGAGCTGTGTCGAGTTGAACGTCCTCATTGAATTTTCTGTGTCAGCTCCTAGGTAAATGCACATCACCATAATCATAAAAAACAACTCAGGAACTAATTTTTCTCTGCTTTGCAAAATTTCATGCAATTCAAAGTAAAGTTTGCGTTTGAGACTCACCTTGATAACTTCTCGTTTGAACCAGCATGATGATGTCCAGCACTTGTGAGCTTATTGTGTTCTGCAGCACAGTCCGATACATTCGTCACACAGAACACACGTTGGTTAATTACGTGAACACACACAGACACAAACACGGGCTGTTTCGTCCATATATGACTAAAACCTATCCATTTGGTAACTCGCAGCTCCCCGCCCTGCGCCGAGCCTTGTGCAACACGAAGCGGTGAATCTGATTGTTGTTTCGTCTGCTGGGGCGCGTCTTCCGCATTAGTAATGTCTCCCTCTGGTGGCCACACTCTGCCATGGCTGCAACCGGAAGGCAATCTCCTCAATTTTTTATTTTTACAAACTGTTATTTTTCACAGACTATACCCTCTGCTATTGCTACAGTTGAGCTCAGTGCAGCACCCGGCCTCCACACAGCATCATGGACATGTTTGTGAGAGAATAATCGGTCTGACTTTGACAGTTAGCATGTGGTACATACAGCTGCCCTCCACCACAATGTTGAGGGAATGTTGTGATCACAAGTTATTGATTGAATTGGAATTGTATTCCTAATATATTTTAATTAAAACCGAAACCTATTGTATCACCTGTTGTATGTGTTTTGAATGAAAAAAATTAAAAATATATAATTTATTATTATAAAATATTATACATTTAATATTCATTATTTAGTAGAAGTGAAGGGATGGTCTATGATAACTATTAAATGATATTGTAAGGAGGTGGGAACTAAATTCATGTTCTGTTAAACGTTTCAGACCATACTGCAGACAAACTGAGCAGGGCAAAACTGGTCAGAGACATGGTCCAAAACTCATAGACTCACACTTTTCTGCTACTCTGAAGTGCCTTGCCCAAGGGCACAACAAAATAAAAGTTTCAAAGATTGGAAAGACATCACTGTGGGATGACCCATGCACTAGTCAACTATGATTTTGCGTATAGTTGGAAGAAGAAAGTCCTCCGGGTTTGCTGTTCGTCATAGTGTATGTGGGTCAAGTTCAAGCCAACATAAGTAAGCACTTCTCCCCCTGAGAAAGAATAGATTTATTAACAAGAGGTAATCAGGAAAGAATACACTTTTGTACAAAACTGGAAATACTACTCAAGCTGTTGAGATAGAGTTAAAGATACTTGTCATTGCACTGGGTATTGCTCACTGCAAACATCAGATGTGCCTGTGGAGGGTAGGGTTTGTGTGCAAGGAAAGGGTTAAATACAGTACACATACTGCTCTATATAGATCTGATTTCAACACGTCAAAGTGGCACATGCCTGCCACTCAAGCTTATAGTTTTTCTTTACAAAGCCAGTAAAAAATACATATAAATATTCAAAGAATAAGCACATTATTACTACTATAGCTCCTGCTGAAACATCCGAATAGACAGGATACAGAATGTGTTACACTTATAAGTTGATTTAAAGTATAGTACATAGAAAGAGTTGAACAATCATAAGGATAACACATTTCTAGAGATATGTATGTTTTCAACACCTTGCACGTTAGGAAAAGCATCATACTGCCTGTTCAATTTGTACACAGCATTCTCTTTTTGTTTCATTGGCAATTTGTAGAACAAAATATTTTTGTTAACCTATATATAAATATATATATATATTATAATATAATATAATATAATATAATATAATTATACATTGTGATAAGGCAAAATTATATGATACTGGCCAAAGAGAGATAACAAAAAGAATAAAACCGATTTCCCCCATTATTTAAGAATTTAACTTTCTAAAGTGGCTCAATGTTGGGAGTATTTGCTACATACATTATCTGGTGCTTATACAGTTTATATACAACATGTGGTCCACTAAAATCAAAACAGAATAAAAACAGCTTTGTTCAAACAGAAATAAAGACCCAGCATTAGTTCAGCTATGAAGACTTTTTGTTCCATGCTTACATTATACATACATATTTTAACTTGTTAAAGAATAAAGCTTTCAAATGCAAAGCTTGTAATTAACCAGTGATTTCATTGTCAAATTGGTGGGAAAATATTTTGCTGGTAAGCTTTTGAATAGAGCTTGTATCTGTATTTTTCACTTTCCCCCTAATATACATTGTCATCCACTGCATCTGAAATGTTGTATGGCATTTTGCTTTCATGATAAATTGTCGTTTAAGACAAATAATCTCTCCTTAAAGAATAACACCTCTGTGGGACTACTCAGGTTTCTAATAACAAATATACATAACAGGTCCATTAGGGAGCACAGACTAGAAGAGCACAGTCTATTGTGATCTATACAAATAATGATATAATATATACATTATGATGCCATCTCAGTTATTAGGTTATTAGAAACACACTCACCTAACACACCATGTCTGCAACTGAAGAGAGTTACCAATGTGTTCCATTGTCCAACCATGTGAGCAAAGACTCAAAGAGACTGGGACTTAACTAGTCATTAGTGGAATTAAGAAACAAAATAGGATTTTGCAGACATGTTGCGTTATGTGCAGTAGTCCACTGACAGAAGCTGAAACTGAATGAGTCTTATTTTCATCTGAAAAGAGTGACACGGTTTCATCTTCATGATGCAGTTTTGGGCTCTATTTTCAGAGATGCTTCGTACAGGCTTTCCTCATCCAGGACTCGACTGCTGTCCAGCAGGTACTTTGCAACCTACAACCACAGACCACAGTCAGCGTTCACATATCCCCTTATTACGGAAAGTGAATGATATGCAACAGCGTCAAAATTACACATTAACAAATCTAACCTTTGGTTGATGATCAATTTTATAAGCTGTTTGCTGAAATTGACGGATTTCTCTGATAATGTGTGAAATCTACAAAAAAAAGTTGCACGTGTGAATGAAATATAAGTGAATTATTAACAAATAGTAGTTTTACCATTCTCATCTTGGAGAAGTTGACCAAGTTGTCTTCTGTGTAGTTGGGTGTTCCCTCCTCAATAAAAGCCAGGTCTGTCAGGTACATCCCCAGATAAGGAACACAGGGCGGGTCACAGCTGAAATACAAAAGATCAATAGTACTTCAAAACCTTTATTCACCCCACAGTGGAGACGTTTCAGTGTTGCAGCACACACTACAGAACAGTGGGACTAAACGGAGCACTCAAAACAACAAGATCAAAATAAAGAAAAAACATTATAAAAATCTGACAAATTTCACTTCAATACTGACTTTTTTAAAGCTTCTCGAAGATTTTTAAACCGTCCTTCAGATGACACCAGCTTCTGTAACTTGTCAATCACGGTCTTTGTCTGGAACACAGCATTAAAGGTAGTATTTTGAGTATAGTGTGAACATATATTTCAACTACTACTATCACACAGTACCTGCTTGGAGACTTTGAGCCAGGTCTTTTTGAGGCGGAAGATGGAGCTGCGATTGAGAGAAGATGTGATTTCTAAAACTGCGTTGTAGTTGTGGAGACAGCGGCAGATATCGGCCACTGCCACCCACTTCTCCACCACCGCCACCCTCACGTTCACATCATCCCAGTGCAGGATCTCAGTGGCAATCCTGTTACTGATCTGAGCGGGAAAAGGCAGGGACACATGTGAATACTAAATAACATTCATATCCACTCATAAAACTCAAAATCTTTACATCATTAAAATGTTTTGTTGTCTTCATAATGTAGGGTGTCCTTTCACTTTTGTCCGCTTTCATCCAGCCCTGGCCAAAGAACTCCCTGTCAAAAAACAAGACTTCAGAATTCACACAAAACTCAACATTAGAGAAAGAATGACAGATAAATCGCGCTGATACGCACTGATATGGGATCGCTTTAAAAACCAGGTGGTCCAGAAGCGTGAGTTGTTCTGCTATTTCCAGTGCCGAATGGCTTTCAAACGGCTCGGTCTTACTGTCCTCCATGGCCTGAAAATTATGATTAGTATGTGATAGCAAATGGATACAAAAGGAGTCACAGTATTTCCCTCACCGTCTGAATGATCTCCTCCAGGCTGACCTGACTGTCCCCTGGGTCCTCCTGCGTCAGAGTCCTGGATGGAAGACACAGACTCTTTTATTTGACTCTTTTAGGGTTTGAACAGCTCAAAACTGGAAGAGCATTCACAGCTAGCTAAGAAACATAGCAGGTACTTATATTTTGTGTGCTCTCTGTGTGCACTTATACTACTGTCCTGTATGTGCGCTGCAACATTGAAATTCCCCCCACTGAGGAACAAATGAAGGTTCTCTTATCTTATCTAACTTTGAAACAATTATCTACTGTATGTCATAAAATGTATCTTGGCCTTTAGATCAGCTCTCAGTATATAAAAGATACCATATTTCTAACAGAATAAATGCAGCATTGATTTTCTTTCCCCATAAAATGCTGCTTGAGCGAGACTCTTTCTGTTGCGACCAATAAAAGCATTTATAAAGCAAAAAAAGTTTGGTTCATCAGCTTTAAATAAGTTTTAAATACGATGAGATAAGATAGACTTTATTGATCTCACAGTGGAGAAATTTACACGTCACATTTGGCATAGATAGAATCACTCAGATTGTGCAAAAGACAGAATGTTAAAGTTTAAAAATATAGTCTGTGCAGGATATAATTATGTACAATTCTAAAACAAACAAAAAAGTGGCGATAAAGTACACATGTTAGTACTGTAAAACTAAAATAAACTGACCTGATGATATTAGCCGCAGCCTTCCTCTCCTGCGTCAGGAGCTCGGGGTCGTGCATCACCTCCTCCAGGAAGCCAATTACTCGCATCTTCAGCTCTGTGTTCAGCTCAAAGTCCTGAAGACGAACAATGACAAAGGTTTGACAGCGGTCACGTAATTATACAGAATAATAATGATATCACTTAGAGAGCCAAAGTGAAATTGAAAGACCATGTACCAGTGAATGCTTGGAGACCCAGTGACGCAGAACATTCAGGACCCGGTTAGTGGCCGCTCTCCGGATGACGAACTCTTTGTCTCCGTTCCTCTGGTCGGTGGGAAAACCTGAAAACCAGACAGTCGGTGATGTAGACTCAGGAGGGCTTTGGCTCTCTTCTAACTGAGTATAAAGTATAAAGTATAGGGTTGTAACTGAGTATTTTTTTTTA